TGGCCGTTTAAATACCAAATTCTTTGTTTTACGCCAAAACAAATATCAACTTTTTAGTGAGTCAAAATACACAAATTTATGTTGACTTGGCCAAATTAGATATAATATTAGTCAACAGTAGATCGAAACCCGGGTCCGAAGACATGGAGAGACGAGACCCTCCAAGGTTTTAGCATGAGTCCAACAACTTGTTAGGGCACGAGATCCCTGAAGACTGTAGCCTGAGTCTGAAACTCTAGGAGGGCACGAGATTGCGTTAACCTAAGTCTGGAGACCTGACGAGTTAGTATGAGAACTCTCATGGAGACTTATAGCCTGAATGAACCGACTTGTCCCCTCTGAGACTACTGAGAAGTTGTCATCATTTTGTGGGGTAGAGCCGGAGGCGAACCTGGTCCTTAGGGCCGAGCTGCATTTGAGCGATACCCGAGCATGACCTTTCGGGAGACTAGGCCACTAATCATGACAATTGTGATTCTCCTTTCTTTCTTATAAAAAATCTTGCTATCTCCTTCTTTTTTATTATAAAAACACATAATAAATTATGCAATTGTTAGTCGCATATGAGATTATGTCTAATATCCCGGGAGTACTTTGAGGTAAAGTGAATGGAAACTAACGACCCCAAACAGAGTGATTATGTTACTCACGCTACAATCTTGGAGGGTCTCGTCTTTCTATGTCTTTGGATTTAGACTCCGATCTATAGTTGACTAATATTATACCTATTTGGCAAAGTCAACATAAGTTTGTATATTTTATGACTCATTAAAAAGTTGGTATTTGTTTTGGCGCAAAACGGAGAGTTTTGTATTCAAATGGCCATTTTTCATAATCTCAAAACGACGTTGTTTTGAGACTTAACGGTTACAATAAACAGAYMWAARATTTTTTWAAAAACTGTTAAAYTTGACTAATTGTATARCTAATTTGGCCGAGRCAARACAAGTTTGTGATTTTTATGACTCATTAACAAATTGGTATTTGTTTTGGATCAAACCGGATAGTTCGGTATTTAAATGACAGTTTTCCCATATATTATTAGGCTAAGATCTTTAGTTTTTGATAACGATACAATTTTAACTGAATGGTTACAACTTTGATGGTTTATTCAGAAAACGTTAATCGTTTGGGGTGATAAGGATAATGTATTTCCCTTGGAGCATGGACATCGTCTACAAAGGTAAATGATATGTTTAATGATAAACACAACTCTAACAATTTTTTTTCAACGAATTTTTTTTCATGTATTTTTTTGGGCAGGCATTTACCAAACTCGAGTTTAGAGATATTGAAGGAAATTGGACACGGTGTGAACATTGAAGCACCAACTACTCTTAACAATTTGATTATATCGTTTGTTTTAGGTGTTCCCTAATTAATTTTATATTCTTGTATAAATTTTTTAACCATAATAAATTTTTATATTTGTATGTTCAGAGAACATTCCATATGCAATAATAGTAAATTTAATAATCTAATGTAAGTGCCTAGCGATGACGTATATTAGTAAGTGCCTAATCACACAGTTCATTGGGCTAGGGGTAAGATAACTTGTGTTCCAAGCCACATTTCAGCAAAACGAAAAGTAATTCGACAATGCTGGAATTAAATAAATAAAATGAAATCTAAATTTGTTTCCCATATAAGCAGTTTTGAATGGCCAACTGACCAATATATATATATAAATTATGATATTCTGCTAATCTTCTCATGTTGGTATGTTGCTCTGAAGTTTGTATTGATCCAATAATTTCTATTGAAACGGTAAAAAACAGTGATTAATTACTTGAAGTACAAGGGAGAGATTTTCAGTTAAAAATAAAAGGAAGGCAACGAATTCAAATTGTATACAACCTGATTCAAGCCGAGAGTGACAGGGTTTGCTAGCTTTATTGTATACTCATAAAATACACAATAATTTCTTCTTTTTTTTTTGCTAAATAGTAAATATTACTAAACATGAAATGTTTAAGCAATACAAAAGAGCATTTCTTATACTAGAGTAACTTTGGCAAACAAAAAAAAATTTACAATAAATTCAGTTTAGATTTTGGTCTTGTTAACATATTTATAGTGTCCTCAGATCTCGCGATCGCTTCCTATGCTTTCTAGATGCAACCGTGTTGCGAACTTCACGATCCAAGTTGTTGAAGATAGTTAGCGGGTCAATATGGTTGTTGTCGTGTAACAAATTGTTCCGTTGTTTCCAAATGTGAAAGATCACTGCGCATGTATCTGCTTTCCTTAGAAGAGAAGGGCATGTGGATGATGTGTGCCTAGTCCGGGACACAAGCTCTAACCAAGTAAAGATGAAACATGAGAAGGAGCTAGTCTTGAGAAGATTAGCCTCCAAATATACCCTGAGAAGCTATAATTGATGAACAAATGATCCCTAGATTCGATCATTATTAAGCAAAGACAACATTCTAGATTTGAGATACAGCTCCATGACATCAGCATTTCCCTAGTTGGAAGCATATCGAGATGAGTGACCCATAAGTTGAAAACATGTTTTGGGACCGAGCCTTTAGACCAGATTAGTTTTGACCAATCTTGCTCATAATTTCTTGGCTTCATAGCCTCCAAAGGTTTTGGCCTCACAATTTCTTATTTTCAAGAATTCGGATCTAAAATTCAAGATGTCTCTCTGCTTTTAGTGAGAAATTTCTCGAAAATAGCATGGAGCTCCCCGACTCGTATAAACGACATAGATTCAACCATATCTCACGAAGATTCAACCATATGGTCCATTGCAATTTAGCCCCAAAATATTGGGTCCGGCTCATATAAACAACGAAGATTCAACACCGGCTCGTTTATATACGGCCAATGCAAATTAATTTTATCTGATCCAATCTACATAACATGGAACCTTTTTCTATAACTTGGAGCCCTAGCTACATATTGAAAATGAGTACAAAATATCAAGGATATATAAAGAAAATCACTATAGGTCGCAATGCTTTTGAACTCCTAGCACTGGACCATAAATCCTATGCATTTGTTCCAATCTTCAAGCTACTCGAGTTTTTTTTTTCAACCTACTCGAATTAAAAAGAGGTTTATGAACTTATTCATAGTATTATGATAATAAGATTATGTTTGTGTCAAATACCTCAAAATAAATTTACAAACGCTTTAGAATTTCTTTCATTAAAAAAAAAAATTATTTCCTTTCAGTAGTAACTTACAACGAGAAGGCAAACATCTTCAGTTTTGGGACTATGCTTTGGGAACTACTTTATGGTCAAGTCTCGTACAAATTTTCGAGTCCACTAGAGTTTGCGCTTCAAATTGTGCAAGATGGTGGACCTGTTATTGCAGACAAATTAAGAGATTGACTGTTCCAGAAAGTCTGAAAGAGCTTATTCAGAGTTGCTGGAGAAATGATCCAGCGAAGAGACTTGCATTCTCTCAACTTGATTTATCTCTCAAAGAGATTGATCTACATATACTGGAAATTGGCAAAGAAAAAGAGAAGGGCTTGCTTCGTTTACATGTCTCGTTGCCTCGTAGGCCTATGTTTTCTTCGGGAAAGAAGACTATTGTGCTGCCCACAACAGAGCACCAAGCAACGATCGTTTGGCTATATGAATCCCGTGATAAATATGAGGCAGAGAAGTTTGTGAGAGCTTTAGATATGCATGATGTGAAATGGAATGCACATCATTTCGCTTGGATTCGGATAGCAGATAACACATCAGGTTTATGGAAAGCCGAGGCATACATTGCAAAACTCTTCAAGTATGAACATGAACATGGTGAGTTAGTATGTGATAATACTAGTTGTAGACTTTATCATTTCTAAGACGTTTGAAATTCTATAAAAAAATGAAGTTACTACTTTTTTTTTTCCTTTTCTTGCGCTATTAAACCAAATTTGATGCATTTTCACTGTGTGTATATGAACTCTCCTTATACAGTTCATTTGATTTATCTGTATGCTACTAGTTCTCTGAATTACCCAACCCAAGTATACTTCAAATAATAACTTTAAATATTCTTGATTATCCGATCAGTTATGAAATAATCAGCTCTGATAAGACATTTTCTTATTATATTAACTTACTAATGTGAATGTGACACCTATCAAAGTTATGATTTACGAGAATGCAATAGTTGTCAATTCATCTATCATATTTGACATTTCTTAATTCTTTAAAGTTAATTTAGCAAAAAACAAAAAATCTTTAAAATTTATATATTTCAAAATAAATTACATGTTTTGGTTATTACATTACATTGTTTCTATATTTAAAATTTTTATTTTATCATGTAAATGTTCATTTACAAAATTTAAACAAATCTAACCGGTCGAGTCACATTTATCTGCTCCAGATGTCTGACACTGGCACAGGCTCTTTAGCCTTTAACCTCCATAACTCTTAACAAAATTCAGATTCAGAGTAAGTACAGAGACCCCAAAAAAGATCTCATTTTTTAAAAAATAAAAAAGATAAGAAACATTTATATATATTCCTCTCAAATCTCTCTCTGTCTCAGACTGTTTGTCTACAGACGACAAGTAGATTCCTTTTTTTTTTTTTTTGCTTTTCCAGCAATCCAATTATTGTCTTATAATTTCTCGAGAAAAAAAAAAATAAAGATTCTTGTCTATTTCCCGAGAAAATAATCTCCAGTTTCCTCTCTGCATATTATCTGTTCCCGGAGCTTGTTTCTTTCCCCTACTTTGAAAGGTAACTGGAGAACAAAAAATTCTTCTTCTTTGCTTTTTGCTTTAAGGATTCATAGATTTATGTATCTTTTGGTTTCTGAGAGTCTTATGGAATCAATCAGTTTGTACTTTTTGATGAAATTATATCTCTAGGCTACTTATAGAACAACTCTTTACTTGTTCTCTTTTTATCTATTTATAGATCTCTTTCATGAAAAACATTGATTCGTACCTTTGTCCGAAATTAAGGGTTTTGAGATTCAAACATAACTAAAACAAAAAATTCTTTTTTTTTTTAAAGATCAATCAAGAATTGAGGTAGATGGAATCAAGAATGGAAGGAGGAGGAGAAGTGTTTTCTGGATTTGGAGAGAGATACCAAATGGATGGTAAATTGTTGCAGAATTTTCAGAAGAGTTTTGTTCAAGTTCAAGACATTTTAGATCAAAACCGGCTTTTGATCAACGAGATCAATCAGAACCATGTGTCCAAACAAGCAGATCGCTTGGGACGAAATGTTGATTTGATAAGAGAGCTTAATAACAATATCAGAACTGTGGCTAGTCTTTATGGAGATCTCTCTCATTCTTTCGCTAGATCGATCGATGCTTCATCGGAAGGTGAATCTACCGGAACATTGAAATCTGATGGTAAGGCTAATAACCAGAAGAGATATAGATCCGGGTAATAATGTTACTAATGTCACAAAAAAAAAAACGAATCAGTCTTTGTGTTATGTAGATTCAGTGCTAATTTGAGTGTGGATTTTTTAAGGAAATGACTTGCTGTTGTTCTTGTTGTTGATCTTAAGACATTAATATTGTGTATTGCTTTGAGGATCTTTAACAGTGTTTGCTTCTGTAATTTCTGTTGTTGAAATGATAAATGTTCATGTCTTTGATTTTGAGGTAATAAAAGAAGTTCCATGTTCACCAACTAATGCATTTATGACAAGGTAAGTAATTAGACCTTTGGAGATTCTCGAATATGAACTTTTTTTTAAGCTTAAAATAAAAGTATGGAAATCAATCAAAATAAGATAAATACTCATAGAAAAATGTAAAGTGTACTATATAAAATCTGATCTAACAAAAGAAGGCCATTAAAAAAGATGATGATCACTGTTGCCTTTTGTGCTTGCATGATCCTTAAAGTCAAAAAGGTAACAGAGACTTGTAGTTTTAGACTTTAGTTAGGTATTTTTATTCCTTCTCTTTTTCTCCATTTTTACACAAGTTTCCAAGTTGTTTTATTATATAACACAAAGC